TTTTATATCTATATTAGCGTTCTTTATCATTTATAATACCTAGATATGTTTTAAAATGCAATTTAAAGCATTGTTGGTTTCGATCAAAGTAGGCTATTTTCAAAAAAATATCGATTTTGTATCCATATTAGCGTTCTTTATTATTTATAATACCTTGATATGTTTTAAAATGCAATTTTAAGCATTTTTGGTTTCAATCATAGTAGGCTATTTTCAAAAAAATATCGATTTTATATCTATATTAGCGTTCTTTATCATTTATAATACATAGATATGTTAACTTCCAAAGGGTACCAAAATGTGTATATTAGGAGGCCGTATTTTTCTGTATATAAACGTTTACAATTGGACATCATCTATGCCTTCAAAACGCCAAAAAAAGTCTTTTTTGAATTTTGAAAATTTTTCGCGTTCAAACGAATATACATATCTGTAGATTAAATTTTTCGAAGTTTTCGAGATAATAACCTAGCTTTCGCGAATAAAAAAATTTTTTTAAAGATTTTAAAGTTTTAATATTTAATTATATTTTCCTGACTACTTTACTTAAAATTCAGTTTGAGATGTTTGTAACTTTTCAATGTCTGTGAAAGGATACTTTTGATGGGAGTCTTAGCTGTAGGAAGGGGAGTGGACGAGCTGTGCTCCACTCCACTCCGCTCCATTGCACATTGCTTTGCTCCGCTCAGCAATGTTCCATTTCACTTCGTTGTGACATTGAAAGCATCTGTCTACATCTGTGTTCGATCTTTTCGAGAAATTTGACAACTATTCTGTTATCTAACATAAGTCAAGCGTTCTACGTAAGTCGTGTTTTTTATTTTATTTTTAATAAATGTATGAAAATTTATTTTATTTAAATTCCTCAATTGTCATACATTCATTAAATTTTAATGCTAATTGCATTGCAGCATAGCATCAGGCTCTTGCACATGTCTAAATAATACAACATTTTTGCTGTTAACATTGAAATCATAACGGTTAATTGGAATCGATTGCCATAGCAGTGAACGATTGTTTTTTAGTCAATTTTCTGTTGTGCCTTTAATTAGTTGTAATTACTCAGTTTTTACAACAACAAAAAAAGTATATCTCAATTAACAATTATTGAGTCTGATAACGTTTGCTGTAACGTGAGAATAATCACTCATATGCATTCCTTATCACATGAGATCACATAAATTATTCACTTTCGTGTGCATGTGATGAAAGATTTTCGATTTTATAATGTAATGGGATACGTGTTCAATTTTGATTTATTGTGTTTAGCTAATTTTATGGGTATTTGGTGCTGATTACAAAGCACATGCCGAGATTCATATCCATTTGTGCCCATCCTAAAGCAATGGTGGGCAACCTTTTCTGTGCTTTATGGTAAGGCATTTTCAATATAAACTTCTAGATGACAAAACCGTGTCCATCAAGTAGAACGGTGACCTAACGAATTGAGTGATGGACTATATATGGGTTTTTTGTGCTATTTTGTGAAAGCAGAAAAATAACTTTTTTAAATTTTGTGAAGTTGCCAGTTCTGAGATATGAGCATCTGAAAACGGAGCTAGGGCCGATTTTCACTTGTAACACTTTCGACTGTAAATCTGACAAGGCTCGACGAAAACTGTTCAAAGTTGGTGTTGTGCAAATGTTCCTCATTCAAATAAAATAAACGAAATATTTTTATCTAGCCTTACTGCGAAAATATGAGGATTCTACCGAAAGAATAAGTTAATTTAGCACTAGGTCCTGTCGTAGAATCACCATATTTTCGCAGTAAGGCTAGATAAAAATATTTCGTTTATTTTATTTGATTAAGAAACATTTGCACAAATTACTGACCAAGTTTGAACAATTTTCGTTAAGCCTTGTCAGATTTACAGTCGAAATTGTTAAAAGTAAAAAATCGGCCCTAGCTCCGTTTTCAGATGCTCATATCTCAGAACTGGCAACTTCACAAAATTTAAAAAAGTCATTTTTCTGTTTTCACAAAATAGCACAAAAAACCCATATATAGTCCATCACTCAATTCGTTAGATCACCGTTCTACTTGATGGACACACAAAACCACAGAAAAAGAACAAGTCCGAATAACGGATACCTTACGGGATTCGAACTTAAATCCTACGATTTTCGGTCGCATCCTACCACTGAGCTATCAGAGGTTAGACGAATATATGGCTTAATTTCCACAAAAAAAAAAACAATTTTTTATGGATGTCATAATTAAACGACCCCAAAACAGTCTAATATTATTATTTCTAGTAAAAATAAAGATCTTTTGGAATTGACTTACTTGATTGTGTTACAAATTTCTATTTCTAATGAACTGTTCTTTCGAAAATAAACTAAATAGATTATTTTGAAGTGTTAAGTAATTCTCTATAGTTTCAAGTATGTTTACTCGAATTTTCAGACTATTAAAACAATTTTCAGAATTAGAACGAGATCGATTGTAAATTTTCTTAGAATTAGCACTTAAAATTGAGAAGCTAGTCTTCAGATTTATTACTATTAATGGAGACATGCAGATTCAACCCGAGTAACACAACGTAATTGCCACTCGGGTTGTGTTACACTTTTTTTTCAGCACTGTGTTTAATAGACTTTTTTTCAGAAATTACTAGTAATTTTTTAATTTTAAGATCTATACCCCCCCCCCCCCTTCCATCCCTTACCCCCTCACCCTCCAGTCAACGACACAGCTACTGTGTCACCAAAACCATTATAGAATAGGTTTGTCGCGAACAATCCCAAAGATCTAATTCATATTTTGTTAATGCATGATCAAATCTGGTCATATCATTTAACTTAATTATCCATAAACATATAAAGTCCTATGATATGCCAAGAGACGATGTCAACGTTGGAGCAAAATAAGTTTAAACTTGTTTCGAATGTTTTTCGAACAAAATTTCGCAATTTCGAAAATCATATTTTTTTTGAAAATTTTAACTTTTCGCAATTTTTAACTTAATTCATTTATTATTTAGGAATCGAATCCTTCTACTATGTTGATCAACACTCATTTAATCGTTTAATCGATGATAAATGCAGGAAACATTAGTTTTATATGATTTTTTTCAAAAATATTCAAAAAATTTTGTTGTTGTTTACATTGAAAATTAAAATGTCATTAATTCACTTGCATTAATTGTTTAGCAAATCAGTAATGATTCATTACAGTTGAGTGGATTATTTTAGCATTTTGATGATGAAAAACAAATATGTAAACCATTAATTAAAGAGATTAGACATTAATAATTTAACGTGAAAAAAAAATTTGAACTCATGCTCGAAAATAAGGTACCAAAAAAAAATCAATATCGAAAATAAGGACTCGTTGGCGTACCATAGATAAAGTCATGTTCCTTTTTGTGTATCACAAGCCATACATAACTCATTTCGCTACAAATTGTTATTGGTTATTAATTTTCATGTCAAAATCAATTAAAGTTTTATTTTATTGAGAGCAAACACACTTCACATGTTTGGTGACAAACGTCTTATAAATATTCATGATTTTGTACGTGATTTTGTGAAAGCACAAAGTCTTAAATGAAAAACGTGATGAAAAGAAGTTCTTGCTGACGATTTGAAAAGCTAGTGTCAACAAGTTGCTCGTTTTTTGTTCAGATTGTATTTTGTTTTTCTTGATTGAGAATCAATTTGCAAGCAGCAAGGTTAAAATATGTATATCGATAGAACTTCAATTTGTTCCACATCGACAGTAAGGATTGTGATTGTAGTCAAAACAAATAAACTAGTGTTCTATTTCCCAATTTTGTAGGACTTGGTAATGTAATCGTGATATTGTAATTGGGAGGTATGGATTATGGAAAATTAGTACAACTATTAAAGTCTTTAAAAAGGTCAAAAAATATATATTTTGTAATTCATATTTTGAGTAGTTAAAAATGGAATTAAAATATTTTCAAGTTCCATTAATATTTCTAATAAACTTTGTTAATATTTAATTAAAATGTAATTTAAAGTTCTTTAACTATTCAGTACCTGATGCGCACTTTATTTTTGTTTTTTAAGAATTGAAAAAGAAAAGGTTCTTTAAGATTTGTAAATAAACGGTTTTATAAAATTTAAAAAGTAAAGATATTGAATGATTTGAAAATCAACGACTTTGAATATTAACTGATTTTGTAAGAATTGAAAAGTAACGGTTTTGTAAGGTTTGCAGAACACAAAATAAACACTCAATAATCAAGTTTCTCTGTCTTAATATCCAAGTTCCTTTGCCCATCAATGTGTAAATTTTAATTAATAAGTCATAATGTCAAAACTGCACGCCAATAAATTTAATTCTGCATAAATCATAAATCTTGTGGCTTATTGATTAACCTGTGAGAAAAATCACACATAATCATAAGACACGAAATTTAATTCAAATTATCCAAAGCTGTACAATGTTGCAAAAATAAAATTACAAAGCTCGTCTATAATCACGAGATTTGCGGCAAATCATGGTACATTAATAAATTAGTATTAATTTTTATTCTCTATTGAGTCAGATGCATATGATCATATGTAGACTGTCTGTTGAGTATGTACAAACCAAATTGAATTTGCATGCATCAACCATTCTTGTTATTTCTCAATTTATTTCAGCAGAGACATGAATAATTTATCAATATGTCAATAAAATGGAATCAATAAAAATGTTTGCCATATTTTAATACAAATTAGCAGTTAATTTCAATTATACAATGTCTCATGAATTGATGATCTTGCTGTCTACGTTGTTTGTTTGGTTGTGTTTGTGATTTTTAACATGTGGCTGTGTAAAATAATGTACAAGTTGAATTACACAGCCAGTATTCATTTAAATGCCTTGATATTTGGACAACGAGTATAGAACAATCATAGATCCTCTCAGATCCAAGATCAAAGCAGTTGGTGCTTCCGGTAAGCCGTTAATTTAACGGACTTTTAAAATTCAAATCGTTACGTTTTTACGTAGCTCAAATTATAAGCAACAAAATTTGCTCAGTTTTCTTTTGTATTTTCGTAAACAATAACTTAATTCACATTTTCTCGTGGTCTACCTGCTTAAAACCTTAAGATTACATTGAATTAGGATAAATAAAAACGTTCAGCATCAAACACACTTAGAAGATTATAGACAATCCTTAAAAACAGTCGAAAAAACACAAAACTATAAGAATTTCATAAAAACTATTAATTAAAGCACATTAAATAAAAATGACAACAGCAGCTCGACCAACATTCGATACAGCAAAAGGAGGATCCAACAGAGGAGAAAAGGATCTTTCAGCATTATCAAAACAATACTCTTCTCGTGATTTGCCATCTCATACAAAACTTAAATACAGGTAAATACAATTTCTGGTTGTTTTGGGAAGCTTTGGCTTACTGGATCTTGATCATATAGCTTTAAATAGTGTTTTTTTGTGAATTGTGATCAAATTTAAAATTTCCACTGGATCTTATCATCATAATTTAAGCTACTGGATCTTTGAAATAGTTTATTCTTTCTGCTGGATATTAATCTTGTTTAATCTTTAATTGTTACATTTGCTATTGACTTAAGTGCTTAATATACTCATTTATAACATCATGATTTAATATATTCCATTTATCAATTTTAGAGAAACTGGACAAGGAACAAACGATGAAATCCGTAGCCGTGACCTCCGTAAAGAATTGGAAGATCGTGAAACATCTACAAAATCATCATCATCATCCTCGTCAAAGCAAGCAACAGTTATTCGTCGAGCTTTAGAAGCAAATACAAAACGTCAAAAGTTGGAACAAAATCCAGACGCTGATGATCCAGTTGAAAGTGACAATTCCGATGATTCTGATTCCGACGATGACACAGCAGCACTTCTTGCAGAATTGAATAAAATTAAACGTGAACGTGCTGTCGATAGTGCTAAAAAGGAGGCAGAAAAGGTCCAAGAAGAAGAACGAATTCGAATGGAAAATATTCTTAGTGGAAATCCTTTATTAAATTATGCCTCAGCACCAAAAGGAAGTGCTAAAGTGAAAAGACGTTGGAATGATGATGTTGTGTTTAAGAATTGTGCTAGATCAGAAGTCGAAAAGGATGGTAGCTTCATCAATGATTCCCTTCGTTCTGAGTTCCACAAGAAATTCATGGATAAATATATTAAGTAAATTGCTGTAATTAAACATATTTTTCTGTAACTTAAGATTTAAAAAAAAGAAATAAAAAAAGTCAACATTTTTGGACTAATCTAATTTGCATATTTTACTGACACATGTTAAAACTTTCAAAAGGTCTCGAAGGCAAGCACGACCATAAAGGCTGATTAATTAGAAAATGCAATATTTTTTTGCATACACGGTGCAATCTTGTCAACCGAGACGCATTTGAAAGCGATAAGATCGATGCAAGTGGCAATTAAGTACGAATATTGTGTAAGTGATAAGAAAATGTAAAATGTAAAATTAAGCTGTAATGAATATGAAAATGAAACTTGTTGATTGTGATTGACATGCTGATTGCTTTTTTAAATGAATATAAAACTGTTTTGTGTGCTGTTTTGAAGGAAGTATTATTGCAAATCTGTTTCAAATTAAATGTTGAATTTAAACCGTTTTTAATAAATTCAAATTTTAACAGAATAACGAATTTTCAATTTAGCGGTTTTCTAATGTTTGAATTTCAACGGTTTTCTAAGTTTTGAATTTTATAGGTTTTTACAGTTTGAATTTTATAGGTTTTTGGTAATAAAAATTTAACGGTTTTGAGGATTTTGAATTTTGTCAGTTTTTAAAATTTTGAATTAACCGGTTTTGAAGAATTTAAATTTTAACGGTAGAGAGTTTGAATTTTATCGGTTTTAAAAATTTGAACTGGTAAATTTTGCATCAATTTTTCTGCCTCTTTTCAATAAATTTCAATTTTAACGGTTTTCAAATTAAAGCAAATAATAAAGCCGAGTAAACTGTAGAATAAATCAAGCTGCTGCATAGTTTAAAGCATGCACAAAGCAACATCCAGCAAATTTTTAAACTTCCAATCCAACAAAATTTCTCATTGGAAGTCCAAAACTGTTAGAAAAGTCATGAGTACAGAAAAAAAATCAATATCGATTTTTCGAAAGCAACAAAAAAGACGAGAATTCGCACAGCCATGCGCACATGATCTCTAAACATGCTGAAACGGAAATTTGAAAAAAATAAAAAAACTTATCTCATCATTTCATTAAAGAAAATGCCCCATATAAGTGAATTTATTACATGGAGTAGATTGATGTGATAACAGCACATCCTTCCACATCCCATTCATTTTGAATTAATTTACATAAAAGTCTAGAATTGAAATTATTTTGCGCGCCTAAAATTAAGTTTTAAAAAGACTTTTTTAGTGTTTTTAGAAATAAAACAAAAAAAATTATTGTTCATGGATATAAACACTCATACATATGGACTTTGATATCTCAGCCATTAACCGAATTTTCATTTGAGAAAAAAGGAACCGAGAGAGGAGAATTGATTGTGTCGCGAGAGAGAGAGCGTAACATTCACCCTCAACATATTATTTATCATATCCATCGTAGACATTTTTCCATTCACGCTACCCGAAAACACAGTCAAGTCAACCACCCTCACTCAGGAAACCGTGAGAGAGAGACGTACAAGTAGTATGTTATTTTTTTTGAATAAGTTACTTGGATATTTTTTGGAAGAGAGTGAGCATAAGCAGTTTTTACGACTCAATCGAATCGTAGACAAGAAAAAATATTTATTCAGTTTTGAAGAATAATCGCGGAGTGAGTGTGGTAAGATGCAAAGTATTGTCAATAATTGTGACTATTTACTAAGTTAATACTGTGGATAATTTAATTAAGAACTGAAACTTTAAAGCTTTACTTTCGAAAAATTTGAAATTTTCCTGATTTTGTAGCCGTGAAAAAAAGTTTTTTTTTATATTTTTTATTGTGCTGGTGAGAAGAAGTTTTACAAATGGACACACACCAATACAAGTGAAAAAGTGCCATTCAGGATGATTCAGAATCAGAACATATAGTATCCGAAACTTTTGTGGACAATTGTGATTCTCATTCTCGTGTATGTCACAATATTTAATATACAAAAAAATATATAAAATATATGAGAATGGATTTAAACTAATTTCTATGGACGGCTGGATGTGAATGTGTGTGAGGAAAGAAATGAATTTTTTTATCATATAGAATTGGGATTCTATGTCTCATTTTACAACAATAATTTTACTATTCATTGACTCACTTTAGGGATATAATGAGGATTTTTATTTGGAAGGGGGGAGGGGTGGGGTTATTTTTTTAAGAACTTGAAATTGAGGGGGATTTTTGTTGGTTGCTGAACTCAAACCCCATTTCCTGGCATTGTCCCTAAGCATGAACTCATTCTACATACCTTACAACCCTAACGATTCTATTCTTTATTTTAATCTATTTTCACACATCTATTGCCGACTATACCTTCCTCCCAATCTTTAATTTTTGCATTACGCGTACATGCAAGAGTAAGCAGATAAAGTAAGTGAATAAGTGGCAATGACCGTAATCAATGGATTTGAACTTTTTATTCTCCCTTCAATAGCTGAGTCATGACTCACAATTCAAAATTTTTACTCCCCACCCTCAACCTTTACTAGTTTTGGTAAAATGTGTGGGATTAATTTTGAGTGCCTTTGTGGGTTACTGATGTGGTTTGAGAATCTTTGCTTGATAAGATAATGCAGAATGTGAATAGTTCAAATGTGTACTTGACTACTTAGGAGGATTAATTTCAAGACTGATGAGTAATTTAAGCGATAGTGTTCTAGAGATGGTTGAGGTTATTTCAGTAAATTCAAGGACATGGCCTTAAAATGCAATACTTCTTACTATGAGAGATTTACTAGGGATTTTTAATTAAAATCTAGCAAATTGAAGAAGTTTTACCAAAAAAGATGAGGGGTGGAAGGGTTGAAATGACAAAACAAGGTTTCAGTTGGTGAAGTTGAATTTTCGAGCAACACAAAAAAAAATCTCCGTTAAGAATCCTTTAATACTCTGTCTACTTTCTTTTATTGATACTTAATTGAAGCTATTAATCGGAGGTGGAAGCTAGCCTCGAGCTGGACTGTGGCTTCCATATGGAAGCAAGCTTCCACCTACGACTTCACTTTCATTATGTGTCAATAAAAGAAAAAAGGTGGAGTCTTGGATCCTTAAAAGCAATTAATCGATTAGTGTTGCTCGGGATTACATAGCTGAAATTTACAAAAACTAGGTTAAAGCTTGCTTCAAACTATTTTTAGAACAGTCTGGCTACTAGGAATTCGACTCAGTAAACCTGATCGCAAATTAAAGCTCAATCACTTGTTAAAGAATAGCAAAGACAAGAAATTAAAAAGTAAAAAAATTGCGTTCTTGACATTCACTCAGTCATAACTTCCAAACGTATCTCTTCTCCTTTCAGCCCCATTTTTTCGGAATAATCATAATAATTTTCATCTCCTGTCTTATAAATAATTCTTAAGAAATTTATTTAATGACGCGAAATGTTGAAGAAAAAGTAGAGAAAACAAAACAAAAAAAAATATTGATCCGCTTTTGCTTTTAATTCGAGTCCTCTTCAATTTCTTTCTTCTTCTTATACACCTCCCTCATGCCATATTCTTTAACTCCCGGTATAATAGTATTAAATTGCACAAGACATGAAGAAAGTCAAGAAGTCAAAAAAAGCATGAAAATGAAAAAGAAAAGGAGTATAATAAGAATTGGCCAAAAGGAACAGAGCGTAAAAAAGAATGAGAAAAAAAAATCAGCGGGAAACTAAGAAAGGGTTTATCTAAAGAAGCAAAAACAAGTTGAATGGCAAGTGGTAAATTGAATGTTATTAGATTTTGAATGTGGGAAGCGCTTTTATGAAGAATGATTGCTTGTAGGCGGGATGCTTTAGGCTAGGTCGTGAATTTTTCTTGGATATTGTATTATGAAACTCTAGATGCCCTTTGAAAAAATCGTATGTTTGAGATTCTTGAGTTGACAGCTATTTCATTATGCTTCCAAGCGAACTCGTGCAGTCTCCTGGTGATCAGAACTCAACTTTCTATGCAGTTTTAATGGAGTTATTTCAGGGAGTTTTGACTTAAATTGAACTTACGTAGCTTTCAGAAGAATCCGAGTATTACTCTGGTGATAAATTTAATGACTAGTTATTTGTAATTATTGATGAAACAACTTTCAGATTGTAATTTAATGTACAAGATGGAATTATTGTTCAAAGTTCAAAACAAGTTCAAAAACAGATTCAAATTTTGAAAATTGTATGAAAAGGGGCAAACAACTATGATGCAATAAACAATATTTATATGTTTTATAAACTTTATCATGAAAGACAACTCAGGCATATTAATTAAAATTCACGAAATGGCTTGATCAGCTTAAGCCAATGTCTTCTTAAAAAGCTTTTCTAAGTATCGCAAGGATCAGAACAACGAAAAACAAGAAAAGATCTTTTTGGACACTATTTCGTACTTTCAAAAATAATTCTCAACCTGATCTAGATCATATAAAGCAAAATCTCAACCAAATACACAAAAATTCCTTCCCCATTAATTCCCAAAACTCAACAAATCGAATATCTCAATCAAAATGAACATTCCAACACGTAAAGTTCCTATAAAAATCGCTAAAAATTTACTCCAATGTATATATACATAAATATATTCACGTATACAATATTATCATGATGTGTTTCTTCATTTACGTTTTCATCATACCCCCGCTCCTTTCTCATGCAAAAACTCCCCCTTATCAGCCATGTTTCCCACTCCAATTTTCACAATCGCTCTTCTTGTTCCCATCAAATCATGACAAAAACAATCTCAGTGAAGGCTTTTTTGAAAATTTATATGTACGAGTACGGCAAGAGATGTGATACAGAAAAGAGAGAGAAAAATTGACTGAGTAAGAGTGCTAGTGCGAGATGTGAAGGTAGCAATTCTAAAATAAGGAATTTCTCCTTTTGACTGTAAATGAAGTGAATGAGTTGTGTATTAATGATGCGATATACTTAAATATGCTTAAAAGTTACTAAAACTTGACTGAGATTTTTCCATTCCCGAGGAAAAAAGACCGTTTTAGAATATACACACATATAATAATAATCATCATCATCATCATCATCATCGTGAGTATCGTATCAGTCAGTCAGGTAGCTTTTAAAGAGTTCAAGGACATAAAAAGAAAAATTATTATCATTATTATTTCTTTCGTATGATTTGAGATAAGAGTTGGGTAAAATTGAGACATTTTTGCTATGAAAACATTAGTGAATGATGATATGATATGTTGTATATGTGCTAATATACTTCAATCATATGCAAAATGTACGCTTTATGAGAAGAAACAGTTTTCAATTAGCGCTGTAAAGGTAGGAGGTTGAAATTATTAAGAATTGTCTGAAATTAGATTTTGTGATGTATATTTTATGTGAATTTTGAACTTTTTTGATTTTTCCACCTCCACCTTATCAAAAAAAATTCTGGCTACGCCTAGGGACATTGAGGATCAAAACAGAGCTTTTATTTCGGGTTCATCGAAATAATAACGAATAATCACATAAAAAGTGCAGAAAATGTCTCAGTTGCGTAGCCAGAACTTTTTGAGGAGCGGGTGGGGGGGGGGGGGGGGGGGGGGAATTGTAGGGAAATTTTAATGGGGTTTTTAGAATTTTCTTCTCAAAAATCAAATTAAAGAAGTGCCTGAGAAAACTGCTCCACTTTTTGTGCTTGGATCTATCAAGCTTAGCCCCCTTTGCTTGCCTAAAACGCGACCAACAAGTAAAGTATTGTTAAGTACGTACCAAAGAATCTGATATAGTCCAAAACATATCACTCGACATCCTCCAAATACTAATCATATTAAAAACTGTATATCCCGCGTTACAAACATCAAAATTCAATTTTAATTCACAAGAAGCAGCAGTTCTTTAATATACGCACCAAAACACATAGTTCAAGATGTTCGACTAAGAGATAATGGCAAATAAAAGAAGTAAAAATACACCAGATGTTACTTATTAGGTGAAGGCAATCAGCGGAATAGTTTTTAAATTTGCTTTTTGCGAAACTTTCCTCACCTGCTAAAGAGACGGTGGATATTCAACATGTAAGTGTGTACGTGTGTAGATCTTGATGTTAGGATTTATCAAAGGAATAGACATGAAGTAAGTGAAGTGGGAGAGAGGATGAGCAAAAGAACGCAGATAATTCCTGTGAAAAGCTATTCATTTGACTAAGAGTTGTGCTATGGAAGAGATATGTGAAAAGAACCTCTAATCTCTACCTTTTTAACCATTTTTTTTCTTCTTTTGCTTGTTGCTAAACGATGTTGCCATAAGCCTACTGTTTATCTATCAGATTTCTCCCACCGTTAGACTTCTTGTGATATATAATATAAAAGACTTTTCATGTCTTTTCATTGCTATGCTCGAGATTTTATTTCTTAAGTATTTACAAATGTATAAAGCTCAACGTGAATGAAATAAGCTTCTCAAATAATAAGTAGCATTTTCTTCTGACCTTTGATTGGAATCTCCTATATGTTATTTATATATAAATGTCCACATGCTGGAAATATTAGAAACAGTAAGCATGTAACTGTCTCAAATCGGATTTACTTCGAAATCAATCGACTCAAAAATTCCATCTCATATTCCCATTCATTTTCCAGCAATTGTATTTGTTAATTTATTTCGGAAGCTTAAAATCACTCCTACACACAAGTATCATTCATAGCTTTTTTTCATCTCAACTTGAGCTGATTTCATTCATTCACAATTTAGGAATATGGAAAATTTTCAGTTTTATGAATATGTCTGTGTGTCAATTCCGTACGAATATCCTCACATGAATCGGTTTTATATGAATAGAAAGATTAAATTTCCAAATTGTTGTCTTCCTGAATGGTAAATTCTGGTATCTTCTCCATCTGCTAGAATTGAATTTAATTTATCGGAAAATATGAAAAAAGCCTTTTAGTATGAAAATCATGAATGACAGGTTTTTGAATAAAGTTGAATGGTTTAAATGGTTGGAAACCTTAAGTACGATTATGATGAATGCTTAATGCTTTATGGATACAATTTTGATTCGGGAAAGTTTTGAATATGATTCAAGAACGGTCAAATTATTTTTAAATTAAATTATCAACAACTAGTTCCGTACCCCGCTTGATTTATTTTGATTTTCCATTTCAAAAAGCGAAAATTAACTTTAATTTAATTATTAGACAATCTTAACTTAATTATTAGACAACCTTAACTTAATTATTAGACTGCTTTAAGTAACAAATAAGACAAAAATTAATCGCTCGATATCCACAAATCAAAAACATTGCGTTTTATTACCTTATCGTAATTTTAATCTTTTTCTATTCATTTTCCATTCTCATTTTAATCTTTCTACAACATAATACTTGTGTTCAAAACATCTACAGTAAGTAACTAAGAGAAATCAAAAAATTTAATGGTACATGATAAGACTGGAGAAGAAAGATAAATTTTCGGAGGGAAAACGGAGTAAGACCGAAAACAATATGAAGCTAAATTTAATGAGTGCAGCAAAAGAATCATATATCGGTTGCAGCATCATAAGTAAAGAAAATTGAACTCAATTTATATAATATAATAGAGAATACAGAAAAAAAAGAAGAAGGATATCAACTTTGAATCGAGGATATAAGTGATATAGTAGCAAGTATCAGTGATAAGAAGATACTTAAAAGACATAGCGAAGTAGAATAAAGAAGAAACAATTTCATCAAACTCAATTCAATTAGTAATAATGTCACCGACTTCAGCGGGTGGAATACTCTCATGGAAAGACTGGTGGTCATCATCCTGTAAATTTTTATTCATCATCTTTATACTCTTCATATCAATAACGGATGTATGTTGTGAATTAAATAAGAATTGTAAGTGAATTGATTTTGTGCTCTATACGCTGAAGTAATTTATCGACCATGGCTTTAATGCTTTCATTTTTTTCCCTTTATTTTATCGTTCCCGTTGTCTCTCATGCATTTCGTAACAATAATCCTTTTACGAAAAAAAAACATTGCGTTATCGAGCAGATCATATAAATCAATTGTGTAAAAATACATTTCTAAGGCAACTCTATAGGAAAGTAGATGGTGCAACACTGATGAGCCAGAATGAGCGCAATCTCGACTGCGAAATCACGTTTCAAACTCATTCGATATTGCAAAGATTTATGTTAAGGTATACCATAACATTTCATACAATCTATATGATTACTGTATTTCAGAACAGAAAGGTTCCATATGTGAACTTTCAACATGAGGATTTTTTTTTGTTCTTGGTGTATGGATCTTTAAACAAAAATTTCTAAAGGATATAGAGAAGCTTTAAGTATTCTGCAGTGGAACAATTACGTGAAAGGATTTACTCAGAGTAGTAAGCATGATTATGGGTCTGATATAGCATCTTGATAGTTGGATCTTTGACTTTAATTAATATAATTGTTACCCTCAATATGGTATCACGTAATAAATAATTGTGGGAAGAAGATCTTTGTAGTTGATGAAGATAATTTCTTGTAATTTTCAAAAATTGAGATGAAAATTGCAGGGATATGAGTGAACTATTTTTTGGAATTTTCTAAATTTAATTTATTATTTTAAATTGCAAAAAATTAACAAATCCAAATTCAGATCAGAATCTATTTTCTCGCAAACATTGTGAGGGTTTACTAAAAGGTGCATACTTGTTCTACACTCAAGATTCCATAAAACCATAAAAGTTATGCAACCTACTGCAACATACACGAATATCGATGCAATATAAAGCAGTTTCGATCATTTAAGCATTAAATAGCATCGTATACTGTGTAACCTTTATTGTATCATTTATAATGTATATAAAATGTATTGCTTTTAAATTATCCTTGGAAATAGTTTCCACTGCAGACTTAAATTGCTCCTTTCCTACTTATCATCCTACGATAATAATTTACCTGTCTACAATATTATAACTAAGGCAAACTAATGATTCATGTCATTATTATCATTGTAGATTTGACACGCTTTCATTAGACTGTAATGATCATCTCTTTGTGTACGATGGTGGCCATGCCGCTGGACACCCTAAGGTAATACACTCATTCTTCAAAATGTTGTCGTGTCAAAAAAAAATGGTTTAACATTTAATTTATTTTTTTTTTTTGTTTTGTTCTTGTTTATCGTGCAATTTATCTACTCATTGTAGATTGACATCTCTTGTCGAAATACAAAGCAATCGGTGGGCGTATTGTTCACAAACACAAATCATATCACACTTAAGTATGTTACGGACAATTGGGGAACTGACTCGAATGGCTTCAAACTTGTGATTACAGCCATAAAAGATCCTAGTGAGTTGGACACTGACTAATTATTGAGTGAATGTTGTTATGTCTTATTAATTATTTCTGTTTCATTTGTCACGTTTTGCAGAACATGCTTGTAGAGACTTTAGATGCCATGCGAAAGAATTTTGCATTCATCCTGATTTATTATGTGATGGCGTCAATCACTGTTCGGATGCTTCTGATGAGTCCACGGCGGCAAATTGTCAAAGTAAGGAATTTTTTTTTCTATTTTTCTGACTTTTCTTTTTAAAATGCTTGGAATGACAGGTTAAGAAGTAGAAATTTATCTTAAAAAGTTGTGGTTGCTGGATAGATTGAATTTTTCGCTATACATCGATACAATTTTTTTTATAGAATTTAATTAATTATGGTTTGTTGGAGATTGAAAATAGATAATTCTATATTTAATTCTTCTTTGTCCATCACAATAATTGCTGTCTCTCGAATTTCCAAAGACAAACTAATACATTGAAGAAGTAACCATAAGAAATCAAAAAAAAATTGAGCAGGGTTCACAACGGAAGTCGTACCTTTATTGATCAAATTTCATGTTTATCCCATCGCTTATGATCGCATCCCATAACGAATCGACCTTTATTATTGAAGCGGTTTATGAATGTGGAAAAGTAAGGATGAAATTGAGACGACACGAGCTGTGCACAAAATAAAAGAGTAACGGAGAGTGACGGAGGTTGAAAAACCCCACTCCAAGATGAGATTTTTTTTCCAAAGTCCCGATGAAAAGAGGAGGGAAAAATTCAATGCCTTAAAAATCATCACATAGAGTTGAGATGAAAAGTCATTGACATCCAATCTGATAAGCAAATATTGAAACGAAGGCAAAGACAAGAGTTGAAGTTAAAGAAGTTTGTATTAGATCAAAAATTCTGCACAATTCAAGAAGTCTTTTAATATTTGAACTAACTCTTATCATGAAATAGTCAGGAGTGCATACCCTAATAATCATCTAAATACTCGCTAGCTACCAAATTCTAGAAACCAATTAAGGCAATACAAAGCTTAGCAACGAAAAACATCATTAAATGAAGCAAGAAGAACTGACACAACTTTACAGATTATTCAGATCTAAACCATGTGAAAAAAATCAGAATACCCAAATTTGCTATCATATCACACCCACAGCCAAATCAATTTAATGGTGCAATGAACAAAAAAAAAGGAAATTTATCGTACCCATAATCATAACAATAACTTGCAAAAGCTGGTGCAGAGCTAAAGATGTCTCACCCCATCTGCCAAATCCAATTATCAGTACATTGACTAGCAACCAGAACCAAGGTCAACACACCAGACAACGTACATTAAATAACAAAATTGCACGTGGGACTTTGTCAAAAAAAAAATCTTTTTAATAAATAGAAAAAACAAATCAGACAAATTGGTCTCGATGGGTAGGAAAATTTGTAAGGTTACTAATGATGCTGCATATTTATTTAACAACATACCGCAATTTGTTTGAAAAAAAAACACGAGTTTCTTCAGTCTCGTTGGCATGTTAATAAATTTTTGGTAACATTTTTGTTGTTAACTACATAAGAAGTGGATGATGCAACCGAAATGGATAATATGTTATCAAAAATTAGAAAGGAGGTTGTAAATAAATTAAGATGTTTGCTATGGTACGCCAACGAGTCCTTATTTTCGATATTGATTTTTTTTTGGGACCTTATTTTCGAGCATGAGTTCAAATTTTTTTTTCACGTTAAATTATTAATGTCTAATCTCTTTAATTAATGGTTTACATATTTGTTTTTCATCATCAAAATGCTAAAAGAATCCACTCAACTGTAATGAATCATTACTGATTTGCTAAACAATTAATGCAAGTGAATTAATGACATTTTAATTTTCAATGTAAACAACAACAAAATTTTTTGAATATTTTTGAAAAAAATCATATTAAACTAATGTTTCCTGCATTTATCATCGATTAAACGATTAAATGAGTGTTGATTAACATAGTAGAAGGATTCGATTCCTAAATAATAAGTGAATTAAGTCAAAAATTGCGAAAAGTTAAAATTTTTATAAAAAATATGATTTTCGAAATTGCGAAATTTTGTTCGAAAAACATTCGAAACAAGTTTAAACTTATTTTGCTCCAACGTTGACATCGTCTCTTGGCATATCATAGGATGTTTGCTCTGAGCATCAAAGGAGGTGATTAGAGAATAATTTTGAGAGATTTACTCATCAAGTGTTTGTTTTTGATGCAAATTGGTGATTTAAATTACTTGTTCAAGGAAAGTAATTAACTTTATGCAGATGCTGCGACAGAAAAAGAAGCTGCAGGAAATAGCAGCTTTGGCCCAGAATTGAGTGCGATTCAAATGCTTTATGGACGCTCTACGCTTCATAGTGGAGCAAAAGGAACCCATCATCATCATGAGATTCTGCGACTCAAGAGTGCAATCTTGTACCTAGCATTTATAGAGCCAAATTTGGTCACTAACGGCTACTATTCTAGCCATACCAACTTGGTTTGTGTATTCTTCACACAAATTGTGTCTAGGTACGCTTTGTATTGATCTACTATTGGCCATATAATTACATTAAGTTGTAAATCAATCGTCCTAATCCTATATCACGTCGCTAAGAAGTGCGTATTTCATGGTTTAATCAAAAGGATAGCAATACAAGAAAATCATGAATTTCTAAACCAACAATTAATTTATTTATGCATCTCATTTCATGTAATTGGCATAATTTGTTTGTTTTCATAATTGGATGTAACCACAACCAGTTGCTGTAGAATAAACTTTGAAGCCAAAAGCATTTTTGCTTCGACAAACTTCCATATTATTAAATGAGCATTTCTGTTTCAATTTATTTCCAGATTCAGCTGAGGGTCAAATTTTTGGTGTTGGTCTCACCTGGATAGTGCTGATATCAGTGTGTAGCATGCTTTTAATTTTCGCATGCTTAGTAGGAGTCACAATATGTATTTGTCGTCGTAATCCAAATAATAATGGTAATAATGGAAATATTCAGAATAATAACGGAAACTTTAATCAAGTTCCACGTGAGTTTTTCTTCTTCCTTTTTCTACAATTTAATATGAATTGACATTTTAACATAATTGGAATTTAATGAATGTCTTCCTTTTTCCTTTTCATGTCAATTTCCCATCCTTTTGTTGCTATCGTCCCTCTGCCTGCTATTATTACTATCGTGTATAGTCTATCAAACTAACATTCATGCAACAAATGGCTCAAAACATTCGACATTGCCACGTGATCAAACAACACGACTGCCCGGTGAAAATGGTAATGGAATGAACGGAAGTCACACAATACCAAGAAATTTCAATATGTGCTTCGAGACGACACAAATTGATGGTGCGAGTGTTAATCTTAAATCGCTTATGGGACAAGATCTTTTATCATCAACACAGAATAATCAAACAACCAAAGATGAGTGGTTTGTGTAAGACTTGATGATGGATATAATGAAAAAAAATAATGAGCTGTTCTATATTTTTTATTATTTATCATTTTTCGGTATGAATAGAATCTTAGAATTTATATTTAATTAGGCTTTAACAAGAGTCTTCTTTTTACTCTCTTTGTAGATTATATAAAATATAAATTATTTGATTAGCAAAAAAAAAAGATATTCAGCCGTACTGTAATGATAATCCAAAGGAGTAAAGATATTTTATAAGTTAAATTTTATTATTATTATTTTTTTAAAAAAAAAAGGGTAAAGAAAATTCTTTTAGATCAATTTGAGACTTGACACAAAAACGTGTTGAGAGTGATTGCATTTTTTTGAGCTTGTGGAATTGTACTGAATACTTTATGAGCTAGTCAACAGAATATCTTTAATTTTGAATGGAAAAAAGGCGCTTGAATATGAAAAAAGTTTAAACACTGCCCACGTAGAGAATTTTTTGGCATTTGCATAGCATCCATTGTGAGCTTTAGCAAATATCATCCAAAATAAACAACAAATTGATGATCTTAATGCTTTCAAAAAGGACAATTTTATTTTGATAAATTTAGAATCTTTTGATGATGTTTTTTTTTGCTAAGGTTGGTAAATATGTGCTTTGTAAAGGAGTCTGCTATTTATAAGAATTCATTTTCAATTTTTGAGAAATCATTTAAACACTTTTCACAAGATTTAGTATTCTCAAGGTCTAGTATTGTGCTACAGTTTCATTGGTAATTATATAATCGTAAAGTAAGCGTAAGCAAGCTTAAGGCATGGCTATATTCATGTAAACTATTTTAATGATTCCTTAAAGCTTACTTTGGTTATCAGGATTTATAAAGATTTTATTAATTCTATATTTTAAGTCTTTTTTAAACGATTCCTGCAAATCTCAAGTCAGTTCAAGCTTAATAATAACCCATTAATTTAAACCTAGCAGAATCAGTTTTAATGATCTCTTATAATGTTGATCCGAACGTCAACTGAGTTGGTCTAGATCGTCAACTTTCTTATAGCTTTTTTTTTGAAAGCTTTTATTAAATATGTAAATTGGCCAAAACCAAGATTTCATTCTAGTTTAAAATTGCTGGGCAGGAAGTTTTATCATCACAAGCTCACCAAAACACAATAACTCTCAATCATCCCAAAGCTCAAAGTTGATTTCAAATGTTCATAAATGGTTCATAAAATGTTCATTCAGATCAACTTTAGCCATTTCTTCTTTAAACCAAAAGAAATTTAAGGAAAATTTTACTATCAAGAACCTGATAATCAATTTTAAATAAATTATTAGCGAAATATCGTTGAAACGTTTAACACATTACTAATTCAATTCCGAAAGAAAAACAAAAATGACCAAAAATACTGATATTACCATAAAATTGCATACCTTTGTACTTTTTACATTTTAAAAAAATGTTAAATGAAAAATTATTACTTTTTAAAACTAAAAGTCAACTTCATGAAAGAGTGTCAAAGACGATATGACGTTCATCATCAATTCTACAAACCTTTATATATAAAAAAAGCTTTCAAAGTTGAAAGACTTTAAATTAGTTTTTTTAACAGCGACTAAATTAAGCTCTTTCAAGAAAGCATCGCAAAAATTAATAATAAAAAAAATCTCATTTTAGTTTTTTCTTCTCTCGGAAAAAAGTCATTAACCTTTTTAACCTTCATATACTCAAATTCATTAAAAAATAGTGCATTTAAGAAAATAAAAATATATCTATAGTTAAAAATAAAAAAAAAAGTATCGACGTCGACATTCTGATTTCTATCAAAGATTCAAACCACCATAAAAGAAATAATATCATATACGAAATGAAAATGTGAAAAAAATTATATCAATTGTCTAGTGAATGCAAAAATTTATTCGTGAAACGTGCGATAAAAAAAATTGAAGGTAGATAAAGTAATTTTTCTATTGAGCATCTTTTTTGTGAGGCAATTTTTTTGGCCGTCTCACACAAAAAAAAATAATATTTATACTCAGAAGTTGAAATTGATTGAGAGTGGATTATTGAAAGTAAAATCTTTAATGATTTCGGTGCTTAAGGTTGATCAATGCAAAACAATCGACGCTTTAAACTAAGGAGTTACTCATATTAAAAGTAAATCAATCTAAGTTTGATCAGATCTTCTTAATTAACTTTTAGATGTCGTACTAAAATTATGACTAAGAAACCAAGTATAAGGAAGGGTTTCTTAGTGTTTTATTGAATAAAAAGGATGTAGCTAGTATCTCTTTATATCCCGAGATTTCGCCACTAGGGTTTCCTCGAGAGTTAGAGCATACTGAGAAATCCACTCCTGACATCCTTTTCAATACATGAATATTTAAAAAAGCAACGTCTCACAAAGAGCAGATATAAAACTCAAGCTAAACTTTAAACTGATTCCTACACACCATCCTTATTAATTTAATATTCCGAATTGAACATGCATTCTCAATCAGATGAGTCAGGCATTAGTTGTGAGACAAACATTAAATTGCATTCTGTAATTTTTTACTGTCAATTATTGTTCTGCTAGTAATGCACTGAAAGACAGCCCTTCAATTCTGAATTCATTATAAATTTAGATTATATTTCCTCGAACTCGAATTATCCATTCAAAATCAACTTCAAGCCCTGCTTTACATTATATTTAAAATTTAAATTATTCAATTTAGAGAAAAATTGGTGAAAAAAAAACATTATAATTTTTATATTTATTATGTTTTTTTTTGTTTACAAAATTTACCATGTAAGAAATGAATTCATTTGTATCTATGAAAGACAGAATGAAGCGATTTTAAGTAAAAAATGAAAGTAAAGGAAGAAATTTGTAATAAAAAAATTGAAGAAAAAATGAAAATATTTGAATAAAAGTGGGTGAAAAATGTAAAATTTGTTTGGTTTTTTTAAACTGAATTTACAGACGCATCTGGACGAACCTGAGATGATTATCTCTTATCCGAATACACAACTCTAATAATGATTTTTATAATAAAATTTAATTTTACAAGTCATCAAATAGGGTCTATTCACTTATAACGCTGATTTAACCCTTGATTGATTCTACAGACGTCAAGTGAATGAACCCCACAGAGTCACTCCAAACAGAATCCAAAGCAAACATGATCAATACTCCATATATCTTACACAGCAATCCTGAATTTAACCGACTAACGGTTCGCAAATCAACTTCAAACCCGGCATATACACAATATAAACGTTCTGATGTTTCATCGCATCGTCAATTAATGTTCGTGTGTATTTCGTTCTTTTATAAAACACAACAATCAGCTGTTCCTACCGATTCGACTTATTATTGTGTGTCTCTCTTGCATTTATTCTTTTCTCTGTTTCATTTTTGTCGCAATCGTATGCCAGAAGGCAAAGTGTCGAGACTTTCTTTCCAATAAATATATTCAAGTGCTATTTTAAAACTAAAGTATGAATTGTTAATATAAGTTCTGTATTTGTTAGACATTGTGTATATAAATTTTCGGTAGATGAAAAACAATTTGCGCTGAATTGTTTCGACTTTTATTTCAAGATTTATATTCACAGATTTCTTCTGTGTACTTTGTTTATCATAATCTAAACATTTTACTGAATAATAGCTGCAATTTCTTCATTTTTTAATTTTTTTATGTCTCACAGTTTCATCAACGAAATATAAGTGAAGATAAGACAGCGTACTGTAATATTTATTTAATTAAAACTTGCCATTCATCATGTGGAAGAAAGCTGTAATTTTAGTTGCATTAATACCGTTCATTGCACCGAAGACTTTGGTAGTTAATTTCTACAGCGGAGAGGATAATGAAATTAGTCATGAGAAAAATGAGCCACCACCGCACACTGACTATGCAAAAATGGCAAGATGGCTTGTACACAGTAAGTTTTTATTACTTCTCGTCGCAAAGGGTGAATAAATTAATTTGTGATTATAGATTTCATAAGCTTTTGCTTCTAGAATTATTGCATAAAGCGTTTGAACTAGAACTTTTAATCAACTGTTTATTGATTTTGATTTGAAACTATTTTCATTGGTATTTTAATTTTAATGTTTTTGCCGGTTAAACAAATTTGATTTTATATAAAAAATAGTGGTTCTACTTTAGCCACTTATCTTTCAAATTAAAAATTGTGGTAAAACGCAATTGGTGAATTCTGAATTGTAAAAGTTGATCAAAAATTCGGATCTAAAAAAAAAATCTTAAACAGAAAACAACTATTTTAATTTTAAGCATATTTTTATAAAATTCTCATTTTTTTTTTATAGATTCCGAATGGATGGCTACAGGAACTATCTCAACCTTACCAGAAATTAACGGATTCCCAATGGTTAATGTAATTGCAATGGCTGATTCTGAAAAAGGTGGTAAAAGTACCGGAATGATTTACTTCTACTTAGTTATGTTAGATTTCACCGCACAAGATCTTTCCAAAAAGAACCAAATGACAGTTCTATTCTCACTCGATCAATCACTTTACTGCACAAAGAAGAATATAGATCCAATGGAACCAACTTGTGCACGTATTATGATGTCAGGAGAAGCTCTTAGAGTACAGAAAGATACACCAGAATTCGATTATGCTACAAAATCAATGACTAGTCATCATCCAGCATCAGCTCATTGGATTGACGCACACGACTTCTTCTTGTGCAAAATGAACATTTCACAAATTGTTGTGCTTGATTGGTATGGTGGTCCACATTATGTAACGCCAGAAGAATATTACAAAACAAATTTGGATGGAGAAAGAAGCCCAAAAGCTACCCTAGAATTTAAGTTCAAATAAGCTAGCTACTTTTCAACTATTCCAAAAGATCAATATCAAAAAAATTATTTTTATAAAATATCGCTAGGTTGTCACGTGTAGCAAATACTTTTTTGATCAAATATAATTTTTTTCTAATTTTTTATTATAATTGTATCACTTTATAAAAAGTAACAAAAATTTTTTAACATATAATAAACAAATTATGAAATTAATTGATAACATTTTTTTTTACTTTTTTTGATAATCATAAATATAATTTTTCGTTACAGGGCTAGGCACTTTTAATTGATAATCTCACTATATTCTTTTAGAATCTAAACGTGATAAGGAATTGCTCCATTAGAAATAAGGTCATTTCTAATGAAAGTAATTTCATACCAACCTTCAGCTTCGAGTTTTTGATAACCACAATAGGATATAATAAAAACTTTAAATTGTAAATAATAATTTTGATTAATTAAATTATGGAATGTACGTTTACTAAATCAGCATCATTTTTCGTCATATTTTGTGGGAATATCAACTTCAATTGCACTTTCTCAATTAGTGTCCAATTAAATCGTTAATAAGTGTTGATAAATTAAAGTCCCAAAAAGCTGGTGTCGGTTACTATTAATGCTGTACCCAAAATACTTGAGGACCCTCAAGCTATTACCAATAATTTACAGAACCCCCTTAAAGTTGACATCCCATGTACAGTGTATCAAAATTTCTTGATATTTTTTACTAGTGGCAAAGCTCCACTAAATCACTTCTAAAAGCACTAAATTCGCTTCGATATAAAGGTACAAAACACAATTTTCACTTGTAAAAAGTTGATAGATAAGTTGACTAATCCAATAAATCTTATTGGTAGTCGTTAATTTCCCATTAAATCTTTTAATGGATCATTAACAGCTGTACTCGCAGTTTTTTTTACTCCAGCCGATGGGGTTGATTTTGATGCAACAGTTGATGATGAAATTGGTTTAGTCACAGATGGTGAAGTTAAAGATCCTTTAAGGTAGGAGTAAAATTAACATATTTAAAATTAAAAATCAAGTTCAGAATTCTTAAGAGATGCATTTAAAAAAAATCTTTCAATGGGGTTTGATGTGGAATAGCTTTGGATCAGCCATTAGAGTACTTAGATATCATAGCACCCGCAGTAAATAACAAGGATAGCCCAAAAGAGAAGCACAGTAGTGAAGTCCTTCATAACGTTAAGTTAAATGCTTATATACACATATTAACATATTAATGATTATTGATCCGTTCCAATAACCTTAAGAACCTGTGTTATCATAGCAGAGTGGAGTCTTTCGTATCAAACCATATGTAGACAAATCTGTCAGTTCAATAGAAAAGCTTTACAGGCCTAGTGGCTAGGCAATAGACCGATAACATTATTATGTAAAAACACGGGTTCGATTCCTATCTCTAAATCCATTACATAGAATGTTGTCAATGTCCAAGAATCCGCACAATGACTCATTACAGTTGCATATTGTAGCTGTTATTTCAAGTATTTAAGTTTTAAAGCAACAAATTAAAGCTATTTTTGGTACTCCTTAGCATTAAACAGATAAGGTTCTATTTTTAATGATAACACGTGTTTAGATGCTGTTCTATAATTTAATGACACAGTTGAGAAGCAAGCAATGACCTAAACTGGCATGGCATTTTGAAATAAATTCGCTAGAAACTTTGAAACAATTTTTTTCGACATTATTTCTAATCACAAATTTGAGAAATCGACTTGAAGCGATAAGATTTGTAAATTATTTACTTCTCTAAGAAGTGTTTGGTTGTTGGTCACGTTACAATAACACTTATCAATTACAGAAACGTGACAATGCCTGCATATATGATAAGCTTAAATAAGAAGACAAAAAATTGTCAAAACTTCAATACCCAATCATTCAATTGACAAGAACGTCATATAAATTAAAAGAATGGCCACTTTATCCACAATCTATTCTATCTACTTGATATTTATGCCAAAAAAATAATTAAATCATCCAACTTACCACTTTTTGGCTTCGAACTAAACAAATCATCATCATCATCATAGTCATCGTCTCCAAAAATCGATTGTTTCTTTGGTTTGGTGCTACTTGTTGATTTAGAGAATATTATAGAGCCATCTAGTTTATTGTCATTCTCGCTGTCAAAAAGTTTTGTCGATTTTTCAGGAACTTTTTTCTTTACTGTGCCAAATAAGTCATCATCATCGTCATCATTAAACAGTGACTTTGGAGCTTCCTTTATCTTTTCAATCTCATTTTTTTTTGGCTTTTCTGTAACAATTTTAGATGCTGGAAAGAGATCATTGTCTGAATCGTCATCAAAAAGTGCTTTTTTCGTGATGTCAGCTGACTTTTTACTATCATTTTTGGAATTATCATCAAACAGCAACGACGAACCCTTTTCACTAGACTTTTTCTTTTCCTCTTCCAACATTTTTCGTGTCTCGTCCTTATCGTCATAAAATACACGACTTTTACTTGTTACTCCTGTTTTTGTAGCCTTATCGTGTTCAACATATGCATAGCTATCAAATGGTGGTGGCTCATCATCAAAGAAATCCAAAATGTTTGACTTGACATTGACATGCTTATGATCTTGAATATTTTTAGCCTCTTCTGACTTTTTTTCAACACGAGAACTTGATTCAACGAGATTACTTTTTACTTTAACCGCTTGCGCAATTTCATCGACCAATTCTCGGCCTGATAATGAATTTGATTGTGTAATAATTGGTTCTACAATGTCTGTTTGTTTTACTTCAGTTGCAGCATTATCAACATGTGACTTTTCATCGTCATTATCAATCGATTCCGCAACAATGTTTGTGTTTAGCGTCTGATCGTAAATTGCTTGTCTGCCTCGTCTTGTGGATGGTCGGCGTTTAACTTGAATTTTAGCTCTTAATTTTGTCAAGTCATTGTTAAGTAGACCTGAATTAGGTGACTTTTCTGATATTGATGATTTTTCAGCGACAGAAGTTGACTTTTCAGTAACAGATGCTGATTTTTCAGTCAATGATTTATCTGTGGATGATGATGATGAATCCAGTTCCTCTTGAGACGGCGTAGAATCAAAACTATCTTCTGACTGTACTTTAGCTTTTCTAGGAATTCGTGCACCAGGCATTAGGGCATTCACATTTATCGCTAATGTCTTATTTAATTTTCCAGGTAATTTCTTCGGTGGTGAGTCTTGTTGGGCAGTTGATTGTTCTTGTGGCTTTGTAAACATGTCGAGCTTACTTTTAATATTGCTTTTAATTGGACTTTGTTCATTTTGACGGATTGCAGATGATTGAGCTTCTTTTGTGGCAGAAATAGGTCCAGTTTTAATTATTTTTTGGGTACTAAGACTTTTATTGATTAGAGTAGGATCTTGCTCTATATTTATTGAGCTATTGTCTATAATTTTGGCCTGATTAGCATTTGTTGTTGGAATTAAACCATCACTTTGTGTCTGTTCTGTAGAAGTTTCTGGTTTACTATTAATTTTAGAGAGCAATTCAGCTATAGTTTTATGACCAGACAATTTATCATTGTGTTTTGATTCAATGACCTTGGAAATTCCAGTTTGCGATTGTGACTCATCTGACTCATCATCAAAATCAAACAATTTTGAAGAACTTATTTTGTCGTCAATTTTAGGTAATTTTGGAATTAAAAGCTCGTCCCCAGAATCATTTCCAAATAGCTGTGTTGATTTTGGTACATTTTCAACTCCAGAATCCTTCTTTTGTGATTTTGGAGAGAAAATGTCTGCTAATGATTCCTTTTTGACCGTCTTTTGTGATAAAATGTCTGATTTAGCTGACAAAAAGTCATCGTCATCCTCATCATCATCTTCAATATGAGTCAAACTTTCAATTGGCTGATTAATATAATCATCATCTGGTGGAATTTCATTAAATGCTAAATAATTAGATGTATTTTGATTCAACACTTCCCGTTCTTCTGGATCCTCAAAATTATTATCATCTGTATCCCAAATGTCATTATCATCTGGCGGCTCATCCACCAAAAATAAAACTGGGTTATTAAACTCCTTTGATAAGGAAGTATTAACGTCTGTCCTTGCCTCATAATTAATATTATTTTTCTCTGTCTGATTATTCACTACCGTATTTTGATTTTCTGGTTCACTTTCGATGTTTGGCACTGCATCATTATCATTATCTGGACAATTAGCGATAATTGCGTCTGATTTGTTCGCTTTAAATAAATCATTCTCATTAATTGGCAGATTTTCTTCAATTTTATCAACGATGTCATTTTTATGTAGATCTTCATGAGCAATTGAGGATGATGACTCAACGACTTCATCGGACTGATTATAAATATATTCCTTTACAGCTGATAAATAACCACCCATAGCTTGTTCTGATTCTCTTTCTTTTACAATTATTATTTTCTTTTCCGATTCTTGACCTGTTTTACTGCTCGTCAACTCTTCTGACTTAAATAAGCTATTATTATTATTTACATTGTCATTTTCATCTTCGTCATCATCGAATAATTTTTTATGTCGTTTAATTTTATCAATCGTTTGCGGTTTGTCATTACTAGCTGCTTTTTCGTTCGTATTTTCTACATTCTGCGACATTGAGGGATGAGTTTGATAACCTTTTTGCATGTCAGATTCCTCAGATTTTCTGGTATTTACTGGGATTGTATCAGCTTTTGGAGTTGAAACATTGATTGACGGCTTTTTATTAAAAATGCTCTCGAAGTCATCGTCATCCTCATCATCAAATAAATTAACATTCTTCTTTATTTCAGGCGTGCTTTTATGCATGATTGGTTCTTCTTTTTTCAATTGAGATAATTTTGAATCTTTTTGCTTGATTATTTTGGTGAAAAAGTCTTCGGATTCATCGTCATCGTCGTCAAATAGATTCGTTATTTTCTGACGAGCTTTCACTGTTGGAGTTGACTTTATCACTAGATCAACTTTTTTACTCACTGTATCCGGAGCTTTTTGCTCTGGCGAAACTTCAGTCTTTATTACTTCTTGTTTATTATCAGCAATAACTTTTTTATCAGCTTGTGGAGCTTGAACTGTTTTAGTAACTGTAGACTCAGCACGTATTACATTCTCAGTTTTTCTTAAATGCACATTTTTAATCTCAGCTGCAATATTTTTCATATCGCGTTGCATGTTAGCTTTCTTCTCGTCTTTCACAGTTTCATCTTTCTTTGGAGTTTCAGTCTGATTTTTCTGCTGATTGATTTCGATTTTTTGAATGAAATTATCAAATTCATTGTCATTGAATAAATCAACAACTGGTGGCAATGGCTTTTCAATCATTTCTGGCTCGGGTAATGGCATGGAAAGTACTGAATCAACATCATCGAATAAATTTACAGGTTTGCGATTGTGAGACGATTCAACCGTTAATTCAGGCGGTTCATCATCAAATAAATTAACGATTTTCCTTTCACTTTGTTGGGGAGCGAAGAATGTCGATTGAGTTGTTGTTGTTGTTGTTGGCTGCTTAATGGTTGGTGTGATTTGTTCGCTTGTATAAACCTCATCAAACAAACCGACTTGCTTGTTTATTATCATTTGATCACCGATGGAACTGTTTGATTTTGATAAGCTTGTTTGTGAAGCCATTAAATTAGATTCAGATGCTATTAAATTATCGCTTTCGACTCTTGAGTTTGATGTGATATTTGATTCTACAGATTCAGCATAAGTTGATCCAGTTTGAGAGTATTTATCTTCCTCAATTAGACCTAAATGCCACTTTTCCTTCCAATTCTTTTCTCCAATTAAATATGGTAATGGACTATAGAATTTATCAATAGGTCTATAGACTGTAGAAATTTCTGTTCGATTACTACTTGGATCTAGATTAACTCGATGCCGTTCGAAGCAATTTTCCATTAATTTTAATCCATTTTGAATGGCAATATTTGTAGACAACTTGACCTAAAATTGTTATGCAATATATTGATTAAAAATTAAAATAATGTGAGCAATGAACTTGTTGGATATATCCTCACAGTTGTTTTAGGCACTTCTTGAATTGGTTCCAAATGATCATCCGTAATTAGATTTTCACAATACACAGTATTCTTAATATCATTAATTCTCGTCAAATTGCTCATTCTTACTTTCGTTTCGTCCAAACTTAGTATCATATTGTTCATTTTAGCTTTTGTATTTGTTGCACGACTTTCAATTTTCTATTGAATTGATAGAAAGTAAGTTATTGGACATAATAAAGAGAAATTTTTGAAATGTTAAAAAATTTACTTACCGATGCAAGATTTTGCATCAATTGCAGCACTTTCCTATCACATTCTAATGTCCATTCAGCTTTACTGGCTGTGTCTATCAGCTCTCGATTATCCTATATTAAAGAAATAGTCAAGAAGTGTTAGAATTTGATGAATAATATAAAAATCTTAAAATTCTTTTTTACCATGTTTACAAAACAGCTGATTATGAATTGTGTTGATTATTTGACGAGTCTGTTCGTAACTGCTTTTGTTTATGGATTGTTTGTTTTCTCAATTTCCACTAGATGTCATTCCTTGTTGGTTCATACTTGTATGTTTTTTCAATAAATTGTGTGTCTTTTATTAATTTGAACTATTTTTTTATTCACAGACTACTTTAATTAACGTAGAAAACATGATTTATACAACTTAACATTCTTTCAATAACCCGTTAATTTCAAATTCAAATGTTTAAAGCTGTGCGTTCAGCCGTAAACGCGTCAGTTATTTCTTCAGTGTGAGGGCTGTAAGTTTAACAAAATTAAGTTAATTATGGATTCTTCTGCATTTACATCGGAAAATGAGTCATTAAGTGAAGTGGAAACACTAAAGCAACAGCTCAACACATATAAAATGATCAATGCAGACTTGTCGAAGAAAATCCAGCAGTTAAAAGTGGAATTAAATGCATTTAAGCAAGAAAATTCGGTAATCAAAAGACAAGTGCTTGAAGAGCGAGCTAAATCAGTTGAATACAGACAGCTCTTCACAACTATGAATACACATTGCATTAATTTCATTAATACTTATGTGAATTCAATGCAACAAATCAATGAGAACGATGCAAGCTTAATCGATGCAATTCCAGGCATACTAGGAACTCCAAAAAGTGACGGTAAATAAATTAATATTATTGTCATACATCCAGTAGCTTATTTTTATATGTCTTTTTAGATGATCATGATAGTCCTCAAAATTTGACAGTCGTTCCACAAATTGAAAGACCCCAAAGAGCAGCACAGCATACAGTTCGATCTCAGTTACGTGCTGCACTTAATGAGGATGAAAATGCTGGCAGTAATGTCTTGAATACTATTTTAGAAGAATCAATGCCAATATTTACGTCCACACCGATTGTTCCGAATAGAGCTGTATCTGCAAATTTAGGATCTCCAATTCCGTTTATTACTCCGTCACCAGCAACTCCGATCATCCCTCAAAATATGTTTAAATCACCAAAGAAGGGAAATTTAAATCTTCAAACGCCAGTGATTCCTCAAAGTATGTTTAAATCGCCAAAAAATCAAGATTTGGATCTAGCAACGCCAGTGATTCCTCAGAGTATGTTTAAGTCACCAAAAAATAACAATACGGCTCTGGAAACGCCAGTGATTCCTCAGAGTATGTTCAAATCACCATTAAATCAAAATTCCGTTCCAGAAGTTACACCACATGACACAAGTGAAACTGTGCTGGAAACGCCAAAATCACAAGCAATTCCTTCAACTCGTAGATATCCAGTTGATTCTGAAGATGAAATTGCAGAGTATCAGACTGATGGTGAAGACATGACAGAACAGACTGTTCAGCATGACACGATTAAAGAAGTTAAAAGCCTTCGAGTTGCTTTATCTCCACTAAAAAGTGCTTATTTACGAAATAACAACAACAATAATACCCACATAGAATCTCCAGAATATGAAAGCTATGAGGATGAATCAACAATCGGAAGTAGTCAATTTACAGAAAACAGCTCAAGAGCATTAAAACGAAAGAGTAGTGAAAGTGGTCGTCCGAGACGTAAAGCAAGACCTGATCCAAAATCATTAAAGGAGCCATCCCTGCGAACAAAATTGCGACGAAGCAAGAGGAAAGCTTAAATGTCTGAACTGACTTTTCAGATCTACCGTAACTATTAACCTTTACTTCTCAGTATTTTATATCTACGAACAACAGCTTGTTCATAGTCTTAAGTTGCATTTGTTTCTATTTAAAAGATTTAATATAAATGGTTGATTCATATGTTATAGGACGTTTTGAGGCTAGTCATAACTGGAGCTCAAGAATATCTCAACTTAATAAAACTTACAAAGATTTACTTAATATTTTCAATTGAATTAGCTTTATTTTGAATTTTTTGATATAATTTAAAAAATGGTAACTTTTAGTTTAGGTATAAATAACGTGATAACTTCGTGATATTCTTTAAATATTAACATCTTCTAAAATTTAAACGATTTTAATTAGAATTTTTGAAATTGTACGGTTTGAGTTTTGAGGATATGATAAAACGGCATAACAGTTAAGTCTCTTGATTTGGAATTGTAAGGATTTTCGAATAAATTTTCATAGAACTGACATTTTTAAGAACCATACAACAGTTAATTTCACATTTTTGGAGATGCATTGTCTTAAAACACAATTAAAACCTTACAACAGTATCTAAAACTTTTATACGGTTTTGAATTAGTGAAATGTTTAAAAATTCTAATCAAACTTTTATGACATTAAGGATTTAAAATTCATCAACTAAATTCCTTAAGCATCAAATGTCCATTCTTTTTGAGCACAAGATTAGAATTTCTCTTCTCAATCACTGGAAATTGATCCTCAAAAAACATTTTAAGATTTTCCACGTCACAAGCTGATTTGAAATTTTGCAAAACGATTAATCGTAGCTGATTTCCATATTCCTTTATAATTCCCATTATGTGAGTCGTTGAGTGAGACACTGACGAGACTATGACAATTTCCTTCAATTTTTTCATAGATTTTAAAAGACTTTCAAGGTAGTTTTGTGTGTCAAAATATCCAGACAGTACAAGACATTCGATATTTGGAAATAACTTTAAAAGCCTCAGTAAATCGTTCCTGCAAATTATAACTTTTCTGTCGTGATTCAATAGAATCAACTTTTTGACATTCTTTTGTATTAAATTGTATTCATGAAGGTCCAAAATCGTAATTCCAACAAATCCATAAAAGATGTTCTCAATAAGAACTGACTCGAAATTAATTAAAGAATTTGTGCATAGATTTTTGAAGATTTTCAGAGCCATTGGCGTTCGAATTCCCAGTGACTTTAAATTAGGGAAGTTAAATGTGATATTTTCGAGTATGTCATCCAATAAAAGTTCATTAGGAACACTAATATCCAATTCCGTTAGTGCTGTGAACATGACAGAATTGCAGAACTCAAAAGCAAACTCTGCATTACTTTGGAAGTTTAGTGTCTTCAAGTTTCTCATAGAATGAAATGTCTCGATACATTTGTAGCTGTCTAGCTTAATTAATGGAATATCAATGTCCTCAAGCTTCTCTAATTTCTGAATAATACTTAATGTTTGATTGTCAATCATAGTTGATTCATCAGCCACAAGTTTAAGATTAATTAAGTTTTTCTGTGTATTAATAGCCTCATTGATGCTACATTTAGGTCCAATTAATGTTAAATGCCTTAAATTTAAGTTCATAAATATCGACTGATCTTTAACAGCTCCAACGATTGTTAAATCCTTAATATCACGAGAACTAATGAATCGCCTTAAATATTCCACGTCAATATTGGATATCCTCAACGTTTGTGGACATTCGAATGGAAGTAAATGCAAAATATTGACCAATTTAAAGTCATCTGGAATGGATTGTGGCACATCAATAAAAGTTATATCCAAACTATTAATCTGATGTCTAAGCTTCAATACTATTGCCTCAAATCGACTCCAAAAAAGGTCACTAAAGTTCAATCCAATTCTTAACTTAATTCCAGTTAAGATCCTATGTGATGATATAATTGATGAGAACATCTCGTTCCTTAGCAACTATAATTGCATGACATAGTGAGATTAATAAATTTCATCATGATTGTCCTACTTACTGTCCTTTCATCCTTTATGCTTAATATGCATAAATGTCTTTCCATCAAACAAATAATTTGATAAAATCTGTGACATACAAAAGGAATGTATCGGTGGTCTGTAATGTAGCTGAATATTTCTATTAGTAATTCTGCTGGCAACTGCAGAATGCCTGAATATTCCTTCTGTGGTGACATATCAGTTAAATATATTAATTTTTGATTTTTTTAAGACATTCAGAAACTTTTATATTCACACCTTTTGTATTTGAAGGCATATTCTCAATAACGTGATTACTTTGAACTTATTGAATTCGATAGAGTTGATGAATGAAGTGAGGAAGAAGTTATGATTATCTCGAGCGAAAGTCCACTAAAGTCATAATTTAAAAACATATAATGAACTAATGCTAAATGAAAGCACAGCCATTCAATGGTACAGTGTGAATATGTTCAAATTAGGTTTCTATCCGACTACACTTGCTTGTTTATTTCCTTTAAAGCCAGTCGATTATTGCAAAAAGCATTTCAAATTTTTAAAGCACGTTAATATTAACAAATATTTTCTTAATTTTCCATACACAATTTCTACTGTTAAACAAACTCCAGCTATGATACATCCTGATAACCATATTATGAATATTCCAGACAAATGATCAAATGTCATTTTCTTAGGATCACTATTAACAACTGCATAATTCAGAATAGAAAAATCAAAATATCGACTTATCCAAAACTGCACTAATCCAGCAGCCTGCAGATTTCCAATACTATTCTCGACATATTTAATTAAATAGTGATTTTTTGGGAAGAACATAGCGACTGGATATGAAAATAGTTTTTCTGGTAGAATGTTGAATGTGAAATTTTTGTAATTTAATTGATTTGCGTAAATAACTTCTGTTATTGGTCCGGCAGCACTTCCTTTGAATTTTGTATCTAGTGTCTTCATTTGCCAGTGTTCGATGCCTTCTTTTCCTACGATTGCGCGACTGAAATTAAATTTGATTGATTAAGGGGTTTTTCGTAAATGATGTGCAGTTTTGAGGGAAGCTGACGTTGTTTAAGGCATGGCCAGAAGGTCCTTATAGCACTCGGTCAACTTTTAACATTTTAATAGAAATAATATGAGAAGAGGGGGGGGGGGTTCAGTTAACTTTGATACGTCATTTATGAACGAACAATGCCATACCTGTTATGAATTTTAAGACCTTTACTGAGTTCTTGAAAAGATTCATACATATAAATCTTAAATCCATTATCCAGCACTTGATCAATTGTTTGCATTGCAGGCATTCTCTGATCTGTTTGTAGAAATTTAAATATTCCAGCTTGATAAAGTGTTCTGACAATTAACGAGAAGAAAACAAATGCGAGCAATATAAATCTAGCCGAATCCTTTGGTGGCATGAGATTCTGTCCTCCATTCAGTAAAATATCAATCATGTTTAAATGCGAACTATTCGAATTTCCGAAAATATATTTGTGAAATTTGCGTGGATTAAACTTTAATAATGATATAATTACGAGTCCCAATCCAAACATTATTGCCAATACCGTCCATAAAATAGTATTGAATGGACAAAAAAGTTTTTCCAAAGGAGTCATTAATCGTCCTCTTGGTATTACCAAAATAACATCTGCATTTGTATAAACTGTATAGCTCATAAATTTAGCACGAACTAATGTCAAATAATAGTATCCAAATCCAATGTCGGTATCTCCACTCATTGTTTTCTCCATTAGTCCAGTAGCTGTTCCATTTTCAAACATTAATCCCCATGCAACCGGCTCTGTAAGAATGTCAATCTTAAGCTCAAAATTTAAAATTCTCGATAATCCTTTCATTATTTCTATCTCAGATCCTTTTATGACAGTCGTTCCATTTCGATATTTTTCATATATAATATTCGGTGGATATTCAAAAGTTGATGCTTTTATTGGACATTGATAGAAGTTGGTAAACTTTTGTGTGAAAACTTTCCGATCGTATATCCATGAAAGATTTCCATATAAAAATTTGTTTATGGAGATTGCTTTAATATTATTGCATCCATTTGATGAAAACGGATAGAACGTAAGCATGTCCATTGATTCTGTAATAAAATGAAATTTGTTATTTTTTCGAATGATGGCTGTGCTTATTGAATTGAGTAATTGTTGGATAAATTGATATGTGGAGAAATAGAAACTATTAAGGATTGAAATAAGATTTAAAGTTATGAGAACAATGGATAAATAACCTATAAAGTTGACTAAACATTTAGTTCTGTCAAAATGTTCATTTAAGGTTTGAATAGTATTTATCATCATAGTTGCTTGCTAAGTTCCATACAAATATTAAGTCTCACTAGAATTCGAGCAGTAAACATCAAAATGTATGAATGTAAGACAAACTCAGTATTTTATCAATCTGTGAAGAACTTTGTAAGCTCTCAAAGATACAAAAGCACCCAGAATAGTGCAGTAATCCTTCTTCGTGACTGATTAAAACTGACTTAATCTACAACTCTTGTTTCATTCAAGCACACTCAAGTTCAATCCCAAAATCAGGTCAAAACACAAAAATTTGGAAACTATAAAACATAATTAAACTGAATTAAACTCAACATTACATAACCATCCAACCAAAGCACTTAACATCCGGTGTTGGCCAAGAAAAGTTCTATTACATTACATGGATAATTAATTAAATTGTGCAATTTATAAAGCCACAGCTACGATTCACTACACAAAACCAAAATCTTTAAGTTTCTCATTACCCTGATTTGATTTTAGTATGACAACATTGTAGATGTAAAGCTTCCAAAACTCGTTGAAAACTTTTGAAGCATCCAGGACAGTGTCATTGTGAAAAATCAATAAAAAGTTCTCAACAGTTTTAAACTTTGTCCTTCTATCCATCAATTTTGGTAAAAATAATTTATAAAACGACTCATAGTTATCCAATGCAAGAACCATCAAGCTCATCTCGCTCCAGAATGAGAATTTCTCCAAATTAATGTTTGTTAATGTAAATGAGAGTTTTTTGTTTAAATTCGCAAATAAAAGCTCCTTAAAGCGTCGATGAGTTGACAACTCGGTAATTAAGCTAATATCCTGAGTCATTGCCATTAAAATTGCATTGTCGATTGCTTTAATGACTTTCACTTGAGCAATGTCATTTGAAATGTTGTAAAAATTAAACTGTGAAGAAATTTCACAGTGAATTAAGCTCTTTCGAGTGATAATAATGAGTAAAATAAATTTAATGTTCATGATCTTGTTGCCAACTTAACTGCTTTCTTTGCTTTTCGAATCCTATCAGCATAAAATTTAACAATAGACTGAGCATTTCAATTTCGGACGGCGGCAAGATGGAAGCATCGAGTGGAAATGATAAATTTTGGACTTGTTTGCTAATGCATTGTAGCTATTTATTTAGGAAACTAGCCGTTAAAACTGTTGGAATGAAAGTTTACGATAAATAATGATTTGTTGTTATTTTGTCTGTTCGGAGATCTTTTGGGACAAGAGTAAGGTACTTAAATAATTATCGAACAAGGAAAAGATTGATTTCTACTTATAATTTTGAAATATGAAATCTATAGCTGCGTAATAATTATCTTAAAACATTTTTCTTAACATCATTTGGAAAATAAGATCTAAACTTTGAAAACTAGAAGAACTCTAATGCGTTTCTAGGCACAATTTCGAGCTTCGAGATATTTTTGTACTTAAAGTCCACAAAAATAAGTTTGTCGATAAATAAAAACAGTTAATATTACTCTTTTGTAAACTATTTATTTAAATATAAAGGTTGGCTAAAAAAATAAGGAACGATTAATGAACTTTAAGTGAGATCAAAGCTGAGACTAGGAATTGAACAAGCAAATATCTGTTAAAGAATGACAAATTTTTAAATTTAAATTTTTTCCAAACAATTGTAAAGGAATTAGAGAATTTATTTTCTGATTCGCTTCTTCTAAAACTCAAAGTTAAAGAACTACTACAATCAATTTATCAGTTCCAAATCTTTATTTCTGAAAATTGATTTCGAACTCTAATTTACAATTAAATTTAGAGTTGTAAACTACAATCAACAATATTTTATCGAAGCTCATGAATTTTTTAATTTGTTTGTGTCACAAGTGTGATAAAATAATTATACTTTTATGAACATATTCATTCCAGCCACATGCTCCTGTTCACATAATTCCAATTATTGAAATCCATTACACGAGAGAGAAAAAATTATAAATAAACAAATTTCATGTGATAATTTTTCTTTTTTATTTGTTGACACATATATTAAGTAATGTTTATATTTTTCGATGATAAATCTATAGCCAAATAACCAATAACCTTTCTGTCTGTCCCTAAGTGCTTTTAAATGTTCTGATTTAATAGATTTCCATTCAATCAACAAAATCTTTTTTTTCTAATTCGAATTATTGAATGTGTCAAGTTTTTTTTTGTCTAGTCTGATTGATTAGTTATGAGACTTTGATTAAATTAAATGATAGGATGAGTGTAAGAGATGGATATCTTGAATTTCACGGAATCTTTAAAATTGCGGCAATCTACAAGCATATTGCGTAGTTTTACACCCCTTAAGTGTTTATTGGAATCTTTTTTGTTAAATAAATCATTAAATTTGACAGCAATTCGATTAAAGAAAACATTAGAACAAATTCTAAGCTATTTTAGTATGTGATGTAAATAAATTTTGTTGTTGAATACACCAAAATAAGTTTATTACAAATAATCAAAGCAAATTTATGTCAAACAAATTATAACGTCAACCATTTGAACAAAAAGAAGCATAAGAACAAATCCAGATAGAAATGTCCAGATTTACTAGAGTTTTATGAAAATAATAGTCTTAAAAGCACCCAAAATTTCTCTGGCAATTGAAAGCCAGTAATTGAAGAAAATAAAAGAAGATTTCTTAAGGGGCTGTTCACTTATTACGTAACGCGAAAAAATGACTTCTTAGACCCCCCCCCCCCTCGTAACAAAATTTGTATGAAAAAAAAATTTCCTTGTTTGAACCGTAACAAAATCTTAGACCCCCCCTCCCCCTAAAAACGTTACGTAATAAGTGAATGGCCCGTAAGAAGATCAACATCCACCTTATTTACGTATTAAACATAATAAATAAACCACTCTATTCAAAACATTACGTCATTTGCTATATTAATAGAAATAAGATAATCTGGTCATATTATTATCTTGATCATCATCATCGTCATGATAGCCAAAGCAACCTCATTCAGTCAAAACAAAATTTCAAAGC